GGAAGCAAAAAATATTAACATGTTGAGAGATTAAGGTATCATTCATAGAAAGCTGCTGGTTTTGTGAAGAAAATCAAACTAAGCTTCAAAAAAATATAACATAGAAACTGAAAAATCTAGATTAATGATTTTGTGATAGATCTTTTATTCTGTGTAATGACTCAGACTACCTGAAGGAGCGAATTAACTTTGCTTTTTTGAGTGCATTAGTTTCCTGGGGCTTTGTAACAAAGTACCATAAACTGTGCAGCTTAAAACAACAGAACTTTATTCTCTCACAGTTATGGAAGCTAGAATTCGAACTCAAATGTCAGCAGGGCCATGCGCCCTCCAAAGGCTCTAGGGAAGATCCTTATTTGCCTCTTCCAACTTCTGGTAGTTGCTGGCATCCTTAGCATCCCTTGGCTTGTAATGCATCACTCCAGTTTCTACTCTTTCTTTGCATGGCCTTATCTCCTATGTGTCTGTCCAAATTCCCCTCTTCTTTCTTATAAGAACAACAGTCATTGGATTAGGGCCCACTTTAATCCATCATGACCTCATTTTAACTTGATTATATCTACAAAAGACCTTATTTCTAAATAGGGTCACATTTATAGGTACTGGGGGTTAGGATTTGATCATGTATTTTAGAGGGACACAATGCAACCCATAACAGTGAATTTATTTAAAAGTTTAGATGCCAGGGCCGGCCTGTGGCTCACTTGGGAGAGCATGGTGCTGACAACACCAAGGGTTAAGATCCCCTCACCGGTCAGTTCAGGTTCCAGTTCAAGATACTTATAGGCTTCAGCAGTTATCCCTGATATGGATGAATGGAAAGATAATTTCCCAGGGCTGGCCAGTCATCTCAGCTGATTAGGGCACAACCTTGTAACACCAAGGTCAAGGGTTCTAATCCCCTATCAGCCAGCTTCCCCTCATCTCCCCCCCCCCCAAAAAAACAAGATAATTTCCAAGCTTGTGCATAGGAGTGTATAATTTTTTGTTCGAATTCAGCTCTCAGTGGTCTGGTTGCAAGAAAAAGACCGCTGTGTGCTGGACTCTGACCCCCTCACGTGGTTGTGTTGTGATCCAGCAGCGGCGAGCACAGCAGCATCTGGCAGGATGACTGCCATCTGGGCAGAAAGATTCAGTGAGTAATCAGGATGTCTCTTGAAGCCCTGTGTGCAGGGAGATCAGCCAGAGGCCTGTTCTCCTGGGTACACCTGGCACATTTGCTGCTGTGCATCTCCATCTGTCAGTCCTTTTATGACTTTAAAGCTCAGAGACTGAATGTTCTGGTGCTTTTATAGGACTCTAAGTTTTTATTTTTCCCAAGCTGGTAGCTAATTAACAATATAAAAAATTGGGCAATACCTCACTCTGTAAACACGTTTTTTGCAAAGCTATGTACATAGTACTGTGTTGGGGATACAGCAGGTATTTAAGACAAGCTTAAGATGGTGCGAGGTACATGGGTGAAGTGCCAATTACAACTCAGTCTGATGGGTCCAAGGATCGGGGTGACTATAAAGTGCTGA